CTGGAGTCCCGGGATCGAGTCCCGCATCGGGCTCCCTGCTCGGCAGGGAGTCTGCTTCTCCCTCTGACCCTCCTCCCTCTCATGATCTCTGTCTCTATCTCATTCTCTCTCTCAAATAAATAAATAAAATCTTAAAAAAAAAAAAGAATTCAGCAATTCTACTTGTAAGGACTTCATTCTATAGAAATAACTGTGAAGGTGCACCAGTATTTAACAACAGTAATATATGTGCTATCACAGTTCTAAGCACTTGACTTACTAATCCTCTTAACAAGCCAGCAACCCTGGAACTATTATTAGCTTCATTTTATGGTTGACAAAAGTGAGGTCAGGGATATTAATTAACTTGTACAGGGTCACAGAACTGGACTCCTGGAGCCAAAATCTGAAACCAGGCTGCCTGCCTTCAGGGTCTATGCTTGTGACCACTATGCTGTATTGCTTCCAACGTAATTACTGCAGGTGCTATTTTCGTGAGGGATTGGAATACCTAGACATCTAACAACAAGGAACTGTTTTTCAAAAATCAACCAAAAATATATAAAATCATTCATCCACTTAAATTATATTATATTTATATTAACATTGTAGAACAGTTAGTGACATAGAAAAACTTGTTCAATATAGGGGTGCCTTGCTGGCTCAGTCGGTAGCACATGCGACTCTTGATGATCACAGGGTTTTGAGTTGGAGCCCCACGTATGGCACAGAATTTACTTAAAATAAAAAAAAGAAATTTAAGGGGAAAAAAACTGGTTCAATACAGTGTTAAGAGAAAAAATCTGGGGCGCCTGGGTGGCTCAGTCGTTAAGCGTCTGCCTTCGGCTCAGGTCATGATCCCAGGGTCCTGAGATCGAGCCCCGTGGCGGGCTCCCTGCTCCGCGGGAAGCCTGCTTCTCCCTCTCCCACTCCCCCTGCTTGTGTTCCCTCTCTCGCTGTGTCTCTGTCAAAAAGAGAAAAAATCTGGTTGAGACATGTTTTAAAGAAAAATATTCTCCCAAGTGTTAACAATGGTAACCACTGGGTATTAAAATTATAGATGACTTTTTGCTCATCCGTACTTTCTAAATGTTCTATAATATATTCCTTTTCCAAAAAAAAAAGAAAAAGAAAAATGGAAATTTTTTAAATTAAAAGAAAAATAAAAGGGAAATCTATGTCTAAACCAGCACTAGAGATTTCCTGGCAAAACATATACAGATTGTGCTCCATTTGAAAAAAAAAAAAGAAAAAAGAAAAAAGGAAGAACAAGATTGTAATGGTTAATTTTATGTGAAAATTAACTGGGCTAAGAGATGCCCAAATCACTGGGAAAACACTACTTCTGTGGATTCTGTGATTTCAAAAAATGGTATCTAATGCTTTCATGTATAAATTGGGATTTTCCTGTTTTCTTCTAGGAAAGGTAGGGTTTTAGGTCTTACATTTAAGTCTTTAATCCACTTCAAGTTAACTTCTGTGAGTGGGGTAAGAAAGAGGTCCAATTATATTATTTTTCATGCATCTGTCCAGTTTTCCTAATACCAGTGATTGAAGAGACTACCTTTCTGCATTAAGTATTTTAGCTTCTTTGTCAAATATTAGTTGACATATATGTGTTGGTTAATTTCTGGGCTCTCAGTTCTGTTCCTTGGTCGGTGTTTGTACCATACTGTTTTGATTGCTACACTTCGTGATATAGTTTGAAATCAGAAAATGTGGTATCTCCAACTTCGCTCTGCCTTTACCATACTGCTTTGGCTATTCGAGGTCATTTCTGATTCCATACAATTTTAGAACTTTTTTCTATTTCTGCCCAAAAAAATGGCATTTGAATTTTGATAGAGGTTGCACTGAATCTATACATGACTTTGGGTATTATGGACATTTTAACAATATTAATTCTTCCAATCCATAAAACTGGGATACTGTCTATTTATTTTCATCTTCTTCAATCTCTTTCAAAAATGTATAATAGTTTTCAGTGTATACATCACTCACCTCCTCGGTTAAATTCCTAAATATGTTACTGTTTTTGATGCTACTATAAATGGAATTGTTTTCTTTCTTTTTCAGATAACTCATTGTTTGTGTGTAGAAATGCAAGTGATTTTTATATTTTGATTTTGTATCCTGTAAATTTACCAAATTTGTTTCTCAGTTCTAAGAGTTTTTTGGTGGCATCTTTAGGGTTTTTATAAATAGGATCATGTTATCTGCAAACAGAAACAACCTTACTTCTTCCTTTCTAATATGAATGCCTTTTATTTCTTTTTCTTGACTAACTGCTCTGTGCGGGACTTCCAGTCCTTTGTTCAATAGGAATGGTGAGAGTAAGGGGCGCCTGGGTGGCTCAGTCGTTAAGTGGCTGCCTTCGGCTCAGGTCATGATCCCAGGGTCCTGGGATCGAGCCCCGCATCGGGCTCCCTGCTCGGCGGGAAGCCTGCTTCTCCCTCTCCCACTCCCGCTGCTTGTGTTCCCTCTCTCACTGTATCTCTCTCTGTCAAATAAATAAAAAAGATCTTTAAAAAAAAAAAAGGAATGGTGAGAGTAAGCACCCTGGTCTTGTTCCTGACCTCAGAAGAAAAGCTTTCAAACTTTTACCATCAAGTATGAAGGCAGCTGTAGCTTTGTCATATAGGGCCTTTCTTACGTTAAGGTATGTTCCTTCTATCTCCAATTTGTTGGGAGTTTTCATCATAAAAGGATACTGAATTTTGTCAAACACTTTCTGCATCTATTGAGAGGATCATATGATTTTTTTTCCTTCACTCTATTAATGTGATGTATCACATTTATTGATTTGCATATGTTGAACGAACCATCCTTATACCACAGAGATATATCCTACGTGACCATGGTAGATGATCCTTTTAACGTACTGTTGAATTCGGTTTCCTAGTATTTTGTTGAGAATTTTTACATCAATATCCATCAGGAATACTTATCTGGTAGTGTCCTTAACTGGCTTTGGTATCAGGGTAATGCTGGCCTTGTTAAAATGAGTTTGAGAGTATTCCCTCCTCTTCAGTTTTTTGGAAGAATTGAGAAGGACTGGCATTAATTCTTCTTTAAATATTTGGTAGAATTCACCAGTGAAACCACCTGGTCATGGGCTTTTTTTTACTGGGAGATTTTTGATTACTGATTCAATCTCCTTAATCATTACTGGTCTGTTCAAATTTTCTATTTCTTAATGATTCAGTCTTTGCAGGCTGTACATGTCAAGGATATTATCCATTTCCTCTAGATTATCCAATTTGTTGGCATACAATTGTTCATAGAGGCCTCTTATGATCATTTGTATTTCCATGGTAACAGCTGTAATATCCTCCTTCATTTCTAATTTTGAGTCTTTGCTCTGTTTTCCTTGGTTAGTCTAGCTAAAGTTATATTTATCTTTTCAAAAAACCAATTATTACTTTCATTGATTTTTTTTTCTATTGTCTCTCCAGTCTCATTTCATTCATCTCTGCTCTAATCTTCAATATTTCCTTCCTTCTGATAACTTTGGGCTGAGCTTGTTCTTCTTTTTCTAGGTCCTTGAAATGTAAATTTAGGTTGTTTGTATGGAGACCTGGAATCTTACATCAGACAAACGACACAAACCATACCAAAGGGAACTAAATGAGGAAGGTCACTAGTATCCACTGAACAAAACACAAAGTCTTCAGTGACCAGAGAATTGTACCCGTAAGCATGAACATCAGCACTGCCCACTGCCTCAGACAACTGCAGGTAGAGCTTCCAGGAAATCTGGCAGGAGGCCTAATAAAAACCGAACCGTAGTGCATAAGACAAATTTAGTTTAACTTGTTTTTAATGCCAAAGACTGGGTCCTGCAGAAAGGGGAAATGAGGAAACAAATACAGAACCAGATAGAATTTTCGTTTAAAAGCAGTTCAACCCCCTACTCAACAAACACATCTTTAGCTATATGACCTTTTACTCATGCCATTTTCTCCGCCTGGAAGACTTCCCCCTAATCCCACCACTTGTCATTTCTTTAACTCTCACTTGTCTTTCAAGATTTAGCTCAAACATCATCCCCTTTAGAAAGTGTTCTCCAAAGCTGTAGTACGACATACTTGCTTTCATAGCAGCCTTTCAGGAACAAATAATTATTGCACATCTGTCACCTGACAAGCACCTGATGCATTTCTCATTCATAACACCTATTCCGGAGCCTCATCAGTGCCTCTAGGCATCCTTAGTAAATGCCTTGAGGCCCCCATGAAGTACCAGGTGCTAGAGATCAGAATGATTCAGAAGTTGCCCCTGCCAGGGAGCTCATAAATGACAGAGAAAAGAGGGAGATTAACAATTATAGCTCACAATAGGGTGAAGTATGCTGTAAATAATGCCGTGGGCAAAGGAGGCTTCTGGGTTCTCTGGTAAGGAGGAGATTGGGTGTACAGCCTTTGTAACAGAAAAACATGTTCAGTGTCCTGAACCTGCCTTGCAACAAGCTCACCAAATGTACTTATCAGCCTTATAAATAGCTTGCACATCCCTCAACGTTAGCTCACAAAGGATGAGCCCATTTGCATTTCATTTCTTTCTTTGGAGAGTTAAATTGCATTGAAGAAGCTAGGTATTCTTCCACTTACTCAGCTGTCGTAATAAGCTAAGTTTAGACAAAGGAATGAGAGGAGGCCAAAAAAAAATGTGTAGCATCCACAATCTTTAATCTGCAACTATATAACAGTATTGCAATCATCCTATTATTGGTTTGGTTGGAAACCAAGTTTATGAACAGAGCTGCTACAACCATAAAAAAAATTATTCCCCTGTGATTAAGGAGTAAAATGAAAGGTGTTAAATAAATACAAAGAAAAGAGAGCACTTTCTGAAAGCCATTTCTATCTAGCCTGGAGCGTGAAGGGGAAGCCAAGTGATTGAGAGTAGGTGGGGAAGAGTGAGAATTCACAAGGTGGTGTTCTGACTTCTGCTCTCAGTCCCTGATGACGCTCACCCAACAAGTTCTTCCCAAAAGGGCACAGGCAAAAGAGGAAAAGTACCTCCGCAGTTCATTCATAACCTTGAACGCCTTCCCCATATGCGCAGAGTTGACAGTGATCGTCCTCTGGTTCTTCTCATCATCTCCGGCCTGAACTGGGGGCTGGGAGCTCGGCTTGATGCTGTGAACAGGAAGGGAGTGGGAGGGTGAAGAGAGGATCACATGTTGGTAAACCCATTCACCCAGCTGCCACAACTCAGTGTAACTGCCCACCCACCAGAAGCATCTTTGTCAGCTTGTTTTCTTCATCACAGACCCAGCAGGGAAAGAAATGCGCTGGGTCAGCCATTTCTGCAGGATCTTCCAATGCAACGTACATTCCTCTGGTGGAAGCCAGGTCCTCAGTCAGCTTCTACCAGCACTTGTGTGACTTTGTGGGAAGTCTTTATCCTCCACCCACCATGCCCTAAAGGGGTGGGGATGTGGGAGGAGATTAAGTGCTATTCCACTCACTTCACAGGGAAATTTGTTCATCCAACAAACATTTAATGGAGCCTACCATGTGCCAGGCACTGTATTTAAATTTAAGGGAAACACAACAACAAACAAAGTCTAGACAGCTGCTTTCACAAAGCTTAGAGCTCAGCAGAGGAGGAAGCCAAGTAAACACCTAAACATCCTATCTTTTTTTATGTTCATTTTTTTATTTAAATTCAACTAATTAACATATCATGTATTATTTGTTTCAGCAGTACAGGCCTGTGATTCATCAGTCTTACGCAACCTAAACATCCTATCTTAAGTATGATGATTGGACAGGAGGTAGAGAAGCGCAGAGGATGGGCAAAGACTGCAGTGCTGACAGAATGAGGGGAAACTTCCCAGAAGCTGAGGGAGAGCAGAAATCTCAAGGAAGAGCAAAAAAGGGCAGGTAAAAGGAAGATGGAGAGCATCCTGGCAGAGGAAAGAGGAGATACAGAGACCTAAAGGAAAAGAGTCAAGGGAGTTCAGTAGAACGAGGAGTCTCAAAAGCAAAGGCTAGATTTGCAACGACGTGGATGAACTAGAGGGTATTATGCTAAGTGAAATAAGTCAATCAGAGAAAGACATGTATCATATGACCTCACTGATATGAGGAATTCTTAATCTCAGGAAACAAACTGAGGGTTGCTGGAGTGGTGGGGGGTGGGAGGGCTGGGGTGGCTGCGTGATGGACATTGGGGAGGGTATGTGCTAAGGTGAGCGCTGTGAATTGTGCAAGACTGATGAGTCACAGACCTGTACCTCTGAAACAAATAATACATTAATTGTTAAAAAAATAATAAGAAGAAGATAGTAGGAAGAGAAAATATGAAGCAGGGGAAATCGGAGTGGGAGACGAACCATGAGAGACTACGGACTCTGAGAAACAAACTGAGGGTTTTAGAGGGGAAGGGGCTGGGGAGATGGGTTAGCCCGGTGATGGGTATTAAGGAGGGCACGTACTGCATGGAGCACTGGGTGTTACACACAAACAATGAATCATGGAACACTACATCAAAAACTAATGATGTAATGTATGATGACTAACATAATAAAATTAAATTAAAAAAAAAAAAAAAGCAAAGGCTAGAAGATGGAGCAGTCCTGTGAGTGTCATATTAGCAAAGCTAAGGAGTTTGGGTTTCTGAGCAGTTTCTGAGACAATGAGAAGCCATCAAAAGGAGAGAGAAGTGGGACAGGAAGCAGGTGAATACATTTGTGCTTGGGTATGGAGAACAAAGGCACAGGAGTGAAAGCTTCTGGGAAACCATAATCCCATAGAATGACAATGGACTGTCACTGTTATGAAAAGAAGGGCTATCTGTGTGGGCTAAGTGAGCAGGTGGGGACTAGCAAGAGTCATTCATAACTTCAAAGTCCTTTGTACTGGAGACAAAACACTCAAATCCCTATGGGATGCCAATTAGATGCCCAACTACTTCTGAGCAATATGTCTCACCTTTATGGGGGGGTAGAAAAAATTAGCAAAAGAATGAACACCCAAAAAAGGACTTTTTTCCCGCAAACCGATGAAACTATTCAGCTCCAAGATCAAGTCCAGGACCTTGGAGTTACCTCTGTTCTAAGAGGAAAACAGAACCTTCTCCACTTGTGTAGATTTGGGGACTCACAATTCACTCAAACTCTAGCTTAAAGATAGTTTGCTTTGCCTTTGCCTGGTGTGCCTCCTTCCAGGCGACCACCTAGACTTGCAAACTGACTGGAGAAAGGGGCTTCTGTGGTTAAGAGAATGTTCCAGAGACCTGATAATCTCTACAGATCTTACAGTGAAATTTGGAACTACTGGAACATTCAAATACAACCAGCAGGGACGCCTGGGTGGCTCAGTCGGTTAAGTGTCTGCCTTTGGCTCAGGTCATGATCCCGGGGTCCTGGGATCGAGTCCCGCATCAGGATCCCTGCTCAGCGGGAAGCCTGCTTCTCCCTCTGCCTGACGCTCCCCCTGCTTGTGCTCTCTCTCTGTCTCTCTCTCTCTGACAAATAAATAAAATCTTTAAAAACAAAAAAAACAAATACGACCAGCATGCAAGACCTACAGTTTGTCTGACCATGACAGACTCCATTGGCTTCCTTCCCCACCTTCAGTTCAGCATACAAATATAAGGTCACAGTCATCTGAACTTTGGGACTATTCGAATTCTGGGGCAAGGAGGTTACCTGAGCACAGGAAGATAAATATCAAGAGATGCACAAAAGCATATGATTAGAATGATATGTTTAAGGAGGTAAAAAAAAAAAAAATCTCAAAAACAGAAGAAGATATGATCAAGGTGAAGGAGTACCCAGTAAAGGTGAAAATTTTCCTATGAGAAATTCCACAAGCATTATTTCTTTTAACGTCAGTGTCTTTCAAAGAGGAACATATGGGAAGGGAGAAAAGAAAAAAAGGAGAGAGGGAAACAAATCATAAGAGACTCTTAAAGACAGAGAACAAACTGAGGGTTGACAGAGGGAGGTGGGTGGGGGGTGGGCTAGATGGGGGATGGGCATTAAGGAGGACACTTGGGATGAGCATCGGGTGTTGTATGTAAGTGATGAATCACTGATTTCTACTCCAGAAACCAATATTGCACTATATGTTCACTACCTAAAATTTAAATTAAAAAGTCAGTGTCTTTCCCTACACCAAGGCTAGAAAGATATTAATTTCTATTTTCTACTAAAAGTTTAACAATTTTGCTTTTGACTAATGGCGGTTATTTTATCTGATGTTGATTTTTATGTCACGATGTGAAATATGGATCTAATTTTTTTCCCATACATTCCCCTTACTGAATACTTATTTTTCCCACTTATCTGTCATGCCACCTTAGGTCACATGTCAAAGTTCCAAATACAGGGATCTATTTTCAGACTCTCTAAGCTATTCTACTGGTCAGTTTATCTGTCTCTACACCAGTACCACATTATTTCTGTAACTTCATTATAAGGCTTGATACTTGACAGGGCAAGTCTTCAATCCTACTATTATGCTTCAAATGTGTCTTCACTATTCCAGTTTCTTTACTCTTTCATGCAAATTTTAGTATCAGTTTGCTCAATTCTATGAAAGACTCATGGGATTCTGAAGGAAACCACATTGAATTTATAGATCAATTAGATTAGAAATGACATCTTTCTGATATTATGTCTTCCGGTCCATGAACATGGAATATCTCTCTCCATTTATTAATATTCTTTAATGTCAAACCTTTTTATTTTTCTGTATGATGACTTTACACATATTCAATTAAATTTATTAAGTACTTTAAGATTTTTGTTGATTTTTTACAATAGCAATGGTGTCTTCTTTGAATTGTATTTTCTGATTGCTACAGTTTATAAAATGCCATTGATTTCCACAAATTTCTATCCAGCCACCTTACCAAACATTCCTATTTCTTTGAAGAGTCAATAAGGTGTTCTATGTAAACAATCATATTAACCTGCATATACTGCCAGAGGGTTTTTTTTTTTCTCTCTCTCCTTTCCAATGCTTAGGCCTCTAATTTTTTTTTTTTTTTAAGAAATTTTGCCCTGCTAGGATGGCCACAGAATGTTGAACAGAAAGTGTGCTAAAAATATTCTTGTCATCTTCCTGATTTTAAAGATGATGTTTCTAATGTTTTCCTATTGTTCATGTTTATTGTAGGATTTTTACAGATGACCTTAATCAAATTAAGAAAATTCCCTTTTATTTTGTTTTTAATAATAAAATTATACTGAATTTTATCAAATATTTTTGTGAATCTAATGAGCTGATCATATGGATTTTTCCCTTTAATCTTTTTAAGATTTTATTTATTTATTTGTCAAAGAGAGAGAGAGAGCAAGCACTCAAGCAGGGGGAGCAGCAGGCAAAGGGAGAAGCAGGTTCCCCACTGAGCAAGGAGCCTGATGTGGGGCTCAATCCCAGGACCCTGGGATCATGACCTGACACTTAACCAACTGAGCCATCCAGTCCCTTCCCCTTTAATCTTTTAATGTAGTAAATGATACTAATATATTTTCTAAAACTAAACCATACTTGCATTCCTGGGATAAATCCAGAAACTATAAAAAGACTTCACAAATATTCATTATAAATGCTGTCTTCAAATTATAAAGAGACTTAAAAGCCAAGGGGAAAAATACGTAATTTGGTATTGATCAGAGAACAACGGAAGGTTTTTGACAGGGAACTAATAAGATTAGAGCTCCTAAAAGCCCAGTGGACAGACATTATTAGTTCTGTTTCACATATATGGAATAGGGCCATTTTGGAAACACTGACAACACTCTCCAGTGTGACTAGTGAACAGGAAGGCTTGCTCTTCCTTGTTGTGTGGCTCTTTGCACTTTCTGGCCTGCCAAAATGGTCCAATAATGAAGTAGCCCTGTTAATACAATGCTGTGTTTACCAAAAGGTTTCAAACACACAGATTGTCTATTCAAAGGATTAGAGTTCAACAAAAAGCAATTCATACCAAAGCCAGCTTGACCATTGGGCTGGTTAGGAAATGGGCGTCTGATCTCCCCGCTCCATCCAGAGCCCTTTCCACCCTTGATATAGGGGCAAGGCTTGACATCAGAAAGATCCTAAGGCCTCTTTCTTACCCTGCTCTGCACCTCTGTGATAACATGGGAAGTCTGGAGTAGACTATGGATCCCTGGTTTCTG